AGAGGGGATGTATATTTATGATGTTTACACACAGACTGGGCATCAACCTGACTCAATAGCAACTTCCTAACATTTTTGCATTACAGTACAGTAGTTCCAAATTAAATTGGAAGCCAGTGAAAAGTTATATTTTCCCTGTGTTTTTGACGAACAGGACGAACAGTGGCAAATGAGAAAGTAAAGTTCAGAAAAATTAATCAGCGAGATCGAATCTGCATTTTTTGGGGGAATAACTTTGCAGACCTAGATAGATTAAGGCACATGCATGGTTGGAGGAAGTGCTAAGATGACGACACAGAAGACGACCCCACAGAATTGTACCTGACCGCATGAACCCATTCACAGCAATGAGCGATGATGAATTTGTTGACCGATTTAGGCTCGGAAAAGAATCAGTTAACAGCAGAGTTGTAAAGTAACTTAATAAATCTACTTGAGTACTGTACTCAAGTAACATTTTGGGGTATTTACTTTTTAAAGTGTGCTTAAAAAAAATATTTTTACTCCAATACAATTGAAGAAAAAAAATAGTTACACATTAAATGCAAATTGATAATGTATTTTTAATTAATTAATTATTAATCACAGTAAAAGAGTTGTGTGGGTGGGGCCATGAAAGGTACGGTGTGGGGAGAAACAACATGGTCTCGTCAGGTGGGAGTGACCATGACAGTGGACTTTCCCTTTGATCTTCTTGTGTCCATTAGCACCTTTTATCCCCCCCCCCCCATCGAATCCCCTCTCTTCTCCCCCACCTGACATTAGATGTCAGTTGCTTTTTGCATATACCTGTACCTAAAATTAATTTCAAAGAGGCTGTGATTCTAAAATGCTTTACATAATTCTGTCTTAGATATAAAGTCTGTAACTATACATATGTGTTAGACTGAGTGGATTTAAAATTCTGTTTAATTAACTAAGTACCACTGCCCCCCCAGCACCTACCAGATATTACGTGTTGCAAAAAATTCAGCCAATCATCATTTAGAATCAAGAAGTGACATCACCACAGGCCACAGCCACACCCCAATTAGAGGGGTAGTTCACAGTGAGTCTTAGTCAGACCCAGTCACTATGCAGGCAGCAATCATCCACAAACTCAACTGAAGGAGCTTGATAGCTACTTGGCATGCCTAGGGATAGAATGGAGCTACTGAGGTCTTTCCTATCATTATGTGACTTATCTCTCAAGCTTAACACCCCACAACCTACATCTGCTGGTTGTGAGCATCTATTTAGTCATGTTGGGCTTATTATTTAATTACTGTAATTAATTACACCCCAGGGGGGCGACAAGCCTAGTCACAAGACCATGCGGTCAGACACTAATACAGTACAGTAAACACTCAATAACTCGGCATTTGATAGCTCGGAATTTCATACTACTTGGCATAGATATGGTCTCGGAATGTAAAACTCGGGAAATGCCGAGATATATAAAATTATCTGGGAAAATCTTGGCATATCTGGCCACCTACCATGCCTCTGTGTCACCTACCTTGCATCTGTGTCACCTACCATGCCTGTGTCACCTACCATGCCTCTGTGTCACCTACCATGCCTCTGTGTCACCTACCATGCCTGTGTCACCTACCATGCCTCTGTCTCACCTACCATGCCTCTGTCTCACCTACCATGCCTGTGTCACCTACCATGCCTGTGTCACCTAGCATACCTCTGTGTCACCTACCATGCCTCTGTGTCACCTAGCATACCTCTGTGTCACCTGCCTGTGTCACCTACCATGCCTGTGTCACCCTAGCATACCTCTGTGTCACCACCATGCCTCTCTGTGTCACCTAGCATACCTCTGTCTCACCCTACCTTGCATCTGTGTCACCTACCATGCCTCTGTGTCACCTACCATGCCTCTGTGTCACCTACCATGCGTCTGTGTCACCTACCTTGCATCTGTGTCACCAACCATGCCTCTGTGTCACCTACCATGCCTGTGTCACCTACCATGCCTGTGTCACCTAGCATACCTCTGTCTCACCTACCATGCCTCTGTGTCACCTACCATGTGTCACCTACCATGCCTCTGTGTCACCTACCATGCCTCTGTGTCACCTACCATGCCTCTGTGTTACCTACCATGCCTCTGTGTCACCTACCATGCCTCTGTGTCACCTACCATGCCTCTGTGTCACCTACCATGCCTCTGTGTCACCTACCATGCCTCTGTGTCACCTACCATGCCTCTGTGTCACCTACCATGCCTGTATCACCTACCATGCCTCTGCCTGTCACCCACCATACCTACCATGCCTCTGTGTCACCTACCATGCCTGTGTCACCTAGCATACCTCTGTGTCACCTACCATGCCTCTGTGTCACCTAGCATACCTCTGTCTCACCTACCTTGCATCTGTGTCACCTACCATGCCTCTGTGTCACCTACCATGCCTCTGTGTCACCTACCATGCCTCTGTGTCACCTACCATGCCTGTGTCACCTACCATTCATCTGTGTCACCTACTATGATGGTTCATTCTTCACCTGCAGTGCTGGTAAGTGTTTCTTTTTTACATTTAGTTATTACATATACACATATATGAATCAATAATTTTTTTTATTGTATTTTTGGAGGAAGGGGAAGTGCCTCGATAAGTCGGAGTTTGGGATAACTCGGCAAGACCAGAGCTCCATATGTGCCAAGTTATCGAGGGTTTACTGTTTATTGGTACTCCTGTCTCACAGGACATGCTATGACCTGTGATATGGAGACAATATTGATATGAATTAAGGACAATGGGGGTGGAGGGGGGTTAGCACCCACCAAAGCATAGGTAGTGTAAAAAAATTAAGTAAATTATTACAAATAAGTAGGTGGTGACATATAATGGTCAGTGACTCTCCCTGTGGTAGGAAGTCCCTGACAGTGGGACAGTCAAGGCAATAGAATTGAAGGGTGCTAGCATTGGGATAGTTACAAAGTTTCAGGAAGAGAAGTGCAGATCATCCCCCCACCTCAGATAAATGCCGGATAGGTCTGTATCATAACCTACTACTCATTTCCAGTGGCAATGAAAGTTATATTCGTATTTAACACAATGATTTACAGGTTAATATTGGTGACCTGTGGACGAGTTGTTTGTTTTACTGTTTATTTTCTTACTTTATTTTCATCAGTGGGTTCTGATATGATATCTTGTGCAAATGCTTCGTTTGGTAGATAATTAGGCACCTAGGCGCACACCACTTTGTCTTCTTGTAGGTAATGCGGCCGCGCTCTAGAAAGGAGTTATCTCTTCCCCGTGGCAGTTTCATTTTCAGCATGACGTGTGAAGGTTGTCGCCGGATTTAAATGAACGTAATTTACGAATTTAGGGATAAAGACAACGTGACCCTTCAGTTTTTCAAAGACCACCGCATTGTTCACAGCAATATTGTGAAATAGAACTGGGGGTATTATTGCGTTTACACACCATTCATTCCTACCACTAATCTATTATCATATTCGAATAAGACATCTAATTATAAGATAATTTTCATCCATTACATTACCGGCGGAAATGTATGATAACAGAGATAGAGTATCCAAAATTTTCTCTATTTTCTTCCATTATCGCCTGCCTCACCTCCAACACTGTGTGTCTCCTTCATAAATCACCACGCGCATGTGTTCCCGTACACGTCACGCAGCCAATCAAAAGCGTTTTTGCTGTTGGAACCAATTAAAATGATTTTGGGTTTAATTTGCAGTATATTTGGCCCAATCAAATTCGAGTTTTATTTTGGGTCTCTCATATTTTGAAATTCAAGTTCAGTTCCGACCATGGAAGTCTGCGATGGGTGTCACTTAAAGTATATGGAGCTGATTGCGAGTTTTTGGAAAAAAAACGTAGAAACTATAGCATTTTTTCGATCGCATGGTGTTCTTCCAACCTCAGTAAAGTGTACTAAGAGCAAGACTGAATGTAAATATCGCAAGGACCAACATGTGGCGTTGGGTAAGAATCCCAGAATGCAACGACAAACAAGAACCAGGCCAATAAGGTAAGAATTGATTCCATCATATGGTGAGAGTCGGTTAGGTTAGGTTTTTATTTTTCTAATGTTTTTTGGTGTATTTTGCCATGATTTTTTTCGGAAAACGTCCAACGAAAAAAAAAAAAGGCTAATTTCCGCCAGAAATGAAGGTCATATTTGGTCTAAACACACACAAATACACTAGAAAAATATATTTTTGACTTTCTAACAGAACGGTGTGACAATGCAAATTTGCCGAACTGAGTTTGTGTGCTAAGACAGTTGTTGTTTGGAAACATTCATTCATCACTTCCTCGAAACCGTGACTTGCCGTTTCCCGCCAATAACAAATCACTTCGCTGCCCGGACTGCATAAACGCTGTTGCTGCTGGATGATCTCACGTCCAGAAAAACTCAAATTACACCATATCATAGTAAGTTCTTTCTGTTTAATATACAGGGGGGGGGGGTCCAGGGTTTCAGGAAGTTAGGTGGTAATATTACAGTGATGAGCAACCACAAAATTCCGGAAATTCACTACATTCAATCGATAGAACTATTTTTTCTATTACCATTTTCTTACATTACACCTCCGGGGGTCCACCCTCAGCTAGGGGGTTAGGTAGGGTTTAGTTATATTGTATAAGTTAGATTCTTTGGTTGCAGTAATCTGCAATTTCACCAATTAGGTAAGGTTAGGTAGGTTTGTTTAGCTAGGTTCGTGAGGTCTGTTTTTCATACCCACTAAGGTTAAGTTACGTTTATTTTAGAAATAAACGTTTTTTAACACACTTGCACAAACTACAAATGTCCACTTTAACAAAAAGTGAAATTGCGGAGTTTTTAAAATCGATTTCTATTAATTTCGGCCGCGGGTTAGCCATCAATATTTACCTCCACCACTATACTGATATAGAAAGTTATTACACATTTTAACTTCAGTTGAGTTTGTTTCACCCACGGTGTAAACAATCCTCATGATTATCCCACCCTATTTTGCCTTTTACTAGAAACCTTTATGACCTTACCTTTAATAGGTTCATCATCTCCCTTTTCGTCAGTTGTCTTTCGCATATCTGTACCTAAATGGTCAGGCATTTTAGCGTTAAATTTTGATAGAATCTAGTGTCAACACGCGTAGCTGTTGATGATGACTGGAGAGTTTCTATCAGTTACTCTCAACTCAGTCATGCTCAGGTGAAGGCGGAGACAAACTATCGTACATTTTAGGATAGTTGTTTAATTATTATTATAAGGAATGTTAATCACTTTATTAAAATTTCCGGTAAAATGTTTTATTCTGGACAATCATTCAAACTATAGGTACATGGAATTTATGTCGAACCTTATTGAATTTGATCTCTAAGATCACCTGGGGCGTACCAACGGTAAGGAGGCGTATCATATGTCCCAACGGGATGAAAAAACTGCACCAGTTGAGACTGTGTATGAAAAGGACCTAGGTGTGTATGTTGACAATGAGCAGAAGTTCTCGGGCCATTGTGAGAAGAAGGTAAATCAGGCAAATAAATTATTGGGTCTTATAAGAAGGTCGTTCAGATATCTAGACGGTCCGTCCCTCGTAACGATCTTCAGGAGTGAAGTGCTTCCCCATCTGGAGTACTGTCACCCCATCTGGTCCCCGAGATATGCTAGGGACTGTCAGTTGGTTGAAAATGTTCAAAGGAGGGCCACCAGACTGGTGCCTGCACTTCGGCACCTCAGCTTCCCTGAGAGATTGGAGCGCCTGAACTTGCCTAGCTTATACTACAGACGGGCAAGGGCGGACCTAGTTGAGGTGTATAAGCATCTCAGTGGGCACTACTCAGTTGAGTGTCCTTACTTGGAGCTGGCGGACGCTCGCCCCACAAGGGGTCACAGCTCAAGATTGAAGAAGCCGCAAGTCCAGAAAACCGTGAGGGCAAACTTTTTCGGAGTGAGGGTTGTAAACTCTAGGAACAACCTACCAGAGAGTGTTGTGACGGCACCGAGTGTGAGCTCTTTCAAGATAAGACTTGACCAACACTGGAGCGGGTTCAGGTACATTCAGGAGCCGGTGCATGCCCAGTATTTGCCAACAGTGCGTGACAGAGACGTGACCGATCGCCCGGGCGGCTAGCGAGCCGATCTTTTGGTGAAGAATATAAATGAAAAGAGACGTGACCGATCGCCCAAGCGGCTAACAAGCCGATCAGTGGCGAAGAGGATAAAAGAAAAGGTAGATTTTACTTTTATCCTCTTCACCACTGATCGGCTAGTTAGATTCAGATAATTAAATGGAAACACAGATTTATAATCGAACTATTTAAAGTTATTAATTTACGCCCAGGTGGCGAATAAACCAACAAAAAACCATACAGGCAACAACAACTTGTGAGAACCACACAATATCATTGATCACCAGCAAATTGCGGGTCATGCAACTTCGGTGTTGTATTAGCAAGTGGTGACATACTGTGGCGGGGTTTTTACTTTTTTTTTTATCCTCTTCGCCACTCATCGGCTCGTTAGCCGCTTGGGCGATCGGTCACGTCTCGGATTACTTTTCCTTTTCATTTCTCTTCTTCACCAAAAGATCGGCTCTCTAGCCGCCCGGGCGATCGGTCATGTCTCTGTCACGCGCTGTTGGCAAATACTGGGCATGCACCGGCTCCTGAATGTACCTGAACCCGCTCCAGTGTTGGTCAAGTCTTGTCTTGAAAGAGCTCAGACTCGGTGCCGTCACAACACTCTCTGGTAGATTGTCCCAAGAGTTTACAACCCTCACTCCGAAAAAGTTTGCCCTCACAGTTTACTGGACTTGCGGCTTCTTCAATCTTGAGCTGTGAACCCTTGTAGGGTGAGCGTCCGCAAGCTCCAAGTAAGGACACTCAACTGAGTAGTGCCCCTTGAGAAGCTTATACACCTCAATTAGGTCTTGGGTATATATTTATCGATCAAATGGGTCACTTTACTAGTTAGGATATTCAGAGTAGTGTCTGCGTTCTTATGCCGTAATGAGTCAGGCTAGTGGATGCCCCTCATCTCTTCCCCCATCCCATTGTAATTTCCCTTGTAATATTTGCACATTGGCCTTGCCAAACTGGAACACCTTGCCCCAGTTGGCACCACTCACCATATAGTGTTACCATTCAGATTTATCTGTAATCTAGTTCTGGATAAGGCCAGGCCAAGGTGCAAATATTACAAGGGAAATTTCAATGGGATGGGGGAAGAAGACTAGCCTGACTCATTACAAACACTACAAATATCATAACTAGTAAAACATAAATATACCCAAGACCAAACCCAGTGCTTCTAGGAATACGAGGGGATCCCTACACATGAACCATGCGGCGGTCGACAAAATTAAGAAGAAAACCCAGAAATTCAAGACGTGGGTTGGGTCAAACGATGAGCAAGACAGGAGGATGTATGCAAGAGCCAGAAACCAAGCAAAAATAGAGTGTAGGAGGGCTGAAAAGGAGTTCCAGAGGCTGGTTGCAAGCGAGGTCAAGTCAAACCCAAAGGCGTTTTACCGCTATGGAAAGTCGAAATAGAAAACGCGAGTAGGAGTATCAGATCTGAGGCTTGAGGATGGTAGTTACGCAGATTCTGACCAGGATAAAGCTGAGGCATTGAACAGCTTCTTTTCCTCGGCATTCACAAGAGAGGATGCAATTAACCTTCCTGCGTTTGAGGACAGACGGTTCGACACAGCACTGACCCACATTGTGTTCACAGAAGAGGGTATTAGAAATAAACTGTCCAGGCTAAATGTCCATAAGAGTCCCGGCCCTGAGTTGGTGCATCCTAGAGTGCTAAGAGAGCTGTGCAACGAGCTTGCCGAGCCCCTGAAGATCCTCTTTTGTAAATGCCTGGATGAACAAATGGTCCCCAGTGAATGGAAAGTGGCTTATGTGAGTCCTATCTTCAAGAAGGGCGATCGTCACTCCACGAACAACTATAGACCGGTGAGCCTGACCAGCATAATATGTAAAGTACTTGAGAGTATTGTCAGAGATGCCGCAATGGAACATCTAATACGAAACAACCTTGTAAAGGATTGCCAACACGGTTTTATGCCGGGGCGCTCCTGCTTAACACAATTGCTCAAGGTATTGGATATTTGGACCCATATTCTAGAACGGGGTGGTAATATCGACAATATTTACCTAGATTTTGCCAAGGCTTTTGTATAATATGGACACGAAGTAGTACCTTAAGCTGTGTATCCTTATATTACTCTTATTAATTATGTATAGTAAAGTATTACAGAACATGTATTAATTCTATGTAATATTTCCATTTATTATGCACCATGTTATGTATGTGAATTATCATATTTATATTTTATGTATTAAGCTTGTGAATGCTGGCATCTGTACAGGCCAGCGCGCAGTGATACATAGAGTGAAGACCACCAGTCCTTATGGTGTGGAAGTACTCTGTTTCTTGGTCCATCTCTGTATATCTCCCGTACGAGAATAAGAACCTATTTTTAAAATAACAAGTGTTTGTGTATACCCTCAGTAGTGTAGAACATTTTGGGGGTACCAAAGACAAACATAGAGCTTTCGACAGTGTACCCCATGAAAGGCTGAAAATCAAACTGGAAGGGTACGGAATTCGGGGAAATGCCCTAGCGTGGACAGGAGACGGTCTACATGACCGCAAGCAGTGTGTGGTGATTAATGGCACGAAATCGTCATCCGTACCTGTCACAAGTGGGGTACCACAGGGCAGTGTATTGGGCCCGCTGTTGTTTGTTTGTTTCATAAATGACATGCCTGACGTTGTACACTCCTCCATACAAATGTTTGTCGATGACGCCAAGTTATTTTGGGAAATTAAGAACCAAGCGGACTGTGAAGAGCTGCAGAAGGACCTCTGTGGGCTCCAGGAATGGTCGAAGAAATGGCTACTGAGATTCAATGTCACGAAGTGTAAGAGGATGCACCTGGGGCGTACCAACGGTAAGGAGGCGTATCACGTGTCCCAACGGGATGAAGAAACTGCACTAGTTGAGACTGAATGTGAGAAGAACCTAGGTGTGTATGTTGACAATGAGCTGAAGTTCTCGGGCCATTGCGAGAAGAAGGTAAACCAGGCAAATAAATTATTGGGTCTTATAAGAAGGTCGTTCAGATATCTAGACACTCCGTCCCTCGTAACGATCTTCAAGAGTGAAGTGCTTCCCCATCTGGAGTACTGTCACCCAGTCTGGTCCCCGAGACATGCTAGGAACTGTCAGTTGGTTGAAAATGTTCAAAGGAGGGCCACCAGACTGGTGCCTGCACTTTGGCACCTCAGCTACCCTGAGAGATTGGAGCGCCTGAACTTGCCTAGCTTATACTACAGACGGGCAAGGGGTGACCTAGTTGAGGTGTATAAGCATCTCAGTGGGCACTACTCAGTCGAGTGTCCTTACTTGGAGCTGGCGGACGTTCGCCCCACAAGGGGTCACAGCTCAAGATTGAAGAAGCCGCAAACTTTTTCGGAGTGAGGGTTGTAAACTCTTGGAACAATCTACCAGAAAGTGTTGTGACGGCACCGAGTCTGAGCTCTTTCAAGACAAAACTTGACCGGGTTCAGGTACATTCAGGAGCCGGTGCATGCCCAGTACTTGCCAACAGTGCGTGACAGAGACGTGACCAATAGCCCAAGCGGGTAACGAGCCGATCAATGGTGAAAAGGATAAAAGAAAAAAAAACAGAGACGTGACCGACCACCCAATCGGCTAACGAGCCGCTCGATCAGTGGAGAAAAGGATAAACATTAAAAAAAAGAAAAGACACTTGGCGTAGGTTCAGATAGAGTTTAGAGCTGTTGTGGGGTACGTGATGTGTGGGGTTCACACTCAGTATGGAATAAAGAATGGAAACTCACGATGTGCTCTCTGTATACATGTTGTATTGGATGTACAATGAAGCTTGGTGCTGGGAAGTGGCAGTGTGGTTACAAGCGTGATGTAGAGAGAGCTGGTTGGTGAGGATGCTCAGAGGAGGACAGCTTGTGGGTCGCCATGCTCACCGGCGGGAGCGAGGGCCGCCAGGCAGCGGCGGAGGAGGTGGTGTTGCTTGCTGATTGGTGTCGGTAGAAAGAGAGAGATCACCACGAGGTCAGGTCTTAAATAGCAGAGGTAGGTGTGGCTTAGTAGTTGACCTCCATCATGTAAGGCGGCGCTGGTTGACCTAGACCACGAGGC